GAAGTCATTTGTCAGTATTGGTTATAGTTTCCTCAGTTTAATGGATTGTAATGAAATAAAAATGTGCAATTTCTAATTACAGTTTAAACTCACATTATTGTGCTGTTACAGTAGAAATAGTTTTACAAGTTAATATTATGGCGATTTTAATTACATTATACCCTATGACTTTCACGAGCTCAGCAACACCTGTTGCTGCTCTTCGTTAAGCATTGGACTTCTTAATTCAGCTGTTTTTGAAAAGCTTTTCAAAAAGTGTAAGGAAAATAGCTGTAATTTTATTTGTTGTAAGACAATAAATAAAACAGATGCTTATCTGGAAGTGAATGAAACTATCCTGGATGTTCCAAAGAAATGCAACAGTTTGATTTTAGAAAACAAAACCCACTAAAAATCTCTTTTCACAGCTACTCAAGAGTCCCAAGCGTATCTAACAAATTCTTCAATTTAAATAAAAAAAATGTTTTCTCTACAATTTTAACTGTATTGATAAATGTCAAAACATCAAGTATGGAATTTTGGAGTGCACAATCTAAAATGACTTACAGGGTCATCCAATAATGTTTACACAACATAAACCCCAAATCAGGCTCAGTTTAACTTCACCTATGCATAACTTTGATACTTAGCAGGAACACAAAAACTTGTGTAAAGACTAGAGAATAATAAACATTTATATGTTAGAAAACACAAAAAAACATGAGTTCTGACTTTGCATTGGAAAGAAATCACTTAAACCACAGCTCGATGCAAACCACCTGTTGTGATGTGACAGCACAAGTCAAATGACTGTCATACGACTTGGCAATGACATCAGCCTGTAAGCGGGGAATATTTTAAGAACTGAAGGCTTCCTGGTAATGCTCTGTGTCATTTTCTCACTGTCAACCCATCTTCAGGCATGACTAACTGGTTTAAACTTTACATTGTGTGGATACTTACAAGTATGTGAAGACCTCGATATACTCATACTGTACATGCATAAGACCACTGGTTGGCATTAAACAACAACATAAGAAAACAAGAGCTCTGCAAATACTGTATGTAACACAAAGATGCATATATTGATTATCATGAAAAATAGTCAATATAATCACCGGCACACATTTACATTGAATATTTTTACTCCCTTGAAAAAAAACCCTACCCTTGTAATATAGGCTGCAACTTTTTACAGTGCATTAGGGAGAGCTGCTTAGGACAGTGTGTACTCCGATAGCTATAGCTGCAAGAGAAACTGTTCAGTAGAGAGCTATTCTGCTTATTATTACTGTTGGAATTTTTTGACAGTTTGTGGGAACCTTCCTTTTTTTACCATAACAATTACAAAAATTACATCACAGAAATGTTCTTGCTAAGGATCTTTTGCATGGTGTCTACTGAAAACATGCTGTTGACAATATGTACAGTAAGTGCATGCTCAGATTCCTTTTTGGTTTCTCGATAGCTTCTATATAACACTGAACAAACCACTGTCTGTCTCACTTGTGGGGACAGATTCAGTCTTGCCTCAGTAGGTCTGGGAAACACATTTTAAGTTACTGGTAATGATACTGAACCAACATGCAGTTAGTTTTAAGGAATTTGCTAAGTTAGTGTTAGATGTTTTTTGGATGCATTAAATCCCTATTCAGCATCACTGTCAGTACATTCCATTAATAATCAGCTGTACATTATAATTATTGAACTTAGGCATTAGTTGTCGTGTACCACAGTGCTGTGTAGCAGGAGTCATGCTAGTTACTATAGTTTATGTTGTTGTCTCTTTTTAACTTTGTCTTTGAACACAAACAGCCTAGGATTCAGTATTACAGTGCTTAAAAACTGACCTCTTTGACTATCTCAACATCATCATCATCAAACACTACACAGTTTGCAAAAAAAGGGCCTACTAATAGTGTGATATTGAGTGTGGCTGAAAAGAAACTCCTATGAGTATTTTTTTCATTTTTTTGCATTGTGCTGCCTAACAAGCTTGTTGCACTGTACATAAAAAGTCAAAATGTTGGTTTATTCCCAACAACAAAAGCTTTTACTCCAAATTGTTTGAAGGAAACAAAAATAATCTGTGAGGTAGCATGAATACAGTAGGGGAACTGTGGCTAAAAGAAGATATACTAAATATCACCACATGTAGCTGCTTCACAGTACCCAATTAATGTAGCAAATTAAACTTCAGAGTTTTATTTTAATCTATTTCCTTTACTTTAATACAATGTGACAAAATGTCCCCTTAAATTAAAATGCCATTCAGCCATTTACAGGACATACTTGTGAGATGCTTTTATTTCATAATGCCAGGAAATACATACAATGCAATGAAGGCTTCCACAATTATTGTAATAAAACTATAAAAAAGCAGGAATCACTTTCAGGATATACCGCGTTACTCAGCACTTGTCTAAATAAACACAGTAATCCTACTCACAAATACTTTGCAAATCCAACAGCATGCGAATAAATCTTGCAGAGTACTGACATGTTTTGAGAATGGTCTATTCATTTCAAGAGTATAATTTGCTGATGACATCTGAAAGCAGGGTTTAATTAAAACCGAACAATCAGTCTCAACTTTTCACCAGAACCTCCTCTGCAATAAAAGCCATAGCCCTGGACTGTCGCAATTCTGGTTTAGTTTAACAGCTGGAATCTAGCTTCTTGACTGTTTTCTACACACTTAGAGACATCACATAATAACACTGGGTACCTCCATCTCAGCGATAACTCATGTAAGCTCCAGCCTGAACTATAATTTAATATATCTGGTGTTCCCCTGATTAAGCTCTGCTCCTTCTGTGTTTTGCTTTCACTCTCACAAAACCACAGGCGGGTGTTTCCCAAGCCAGTCTCTGCTGACTCGAATGGGAAGTGGTTGTCATGTCAAGCCCTGAAGAAAATATCAGTTCCCTGCAGAGCTGTTAATTAGCAGTTGCCTTTCGCGATTGTTAAGCGCACTGCAAACTGTTTTATCCTTGACCATGCTGGCTGGCCTTTGTTTTCCAACACACTCCTGCACATTAACTGAACATTTGCACCTCCACAGCTGAGAGCAGAGATTAATGATCTCCCAAAGCCTCCAATGCTAGTTGGCAGGTTATTGAGAGGGTCATGATGATCAGTGCTTCTGAACCTTCCTCTGTAGCAACTGGACCGCATGAACAAAAAAAACAACAAAATGTGCTCTGGTGTCCTCTATTGTCAAGATAAAATTGTTCATTTAAATTTACAATATATAACGCTACATTTCACGGTGCTAAAATATTCTGGATACCATAGCTTTTTCTGCATTACACTGTTGGGTTCAGCACTGCAATTGTATTCATGTAAAACTGGGTTATAGATTCATCAGAACATTGTGTTTGCACTACATAAGCATTAAAAATCTTTAAAGGACAGAAACATTTTGAGACTAAACACAATATTTGACAGTCTTTTTTGTCATTCCTAATGCAATGCTGGAAACGACTTACAGAAAAACAGGAACAAACCACAGAAAAGAGTGGTATGTAATCACCTAAGTATGTGACCCTTTCACAACAAAAAAATAATAAGAGACCTAGTACTGTACATGGCAAGAAAATGAAAACAGGAAGGGCAGCTTTCCCATTACGAGTGTGAACGAAGCTGCGGCTGTAAATGTCTGCCTCTGGATTGTCGGACACTCAAGGCACACTAATTACTGTATTGTAGAAACATAAAACCTAGCAGGTATTGAAAAGTTTCTGCAAACAATTTAAATTTCTTCAAGGAACTTAAGGAAAAAAACATGGAATGTGACATTTCTGTCACTTATTTTCACCACTTTGAAAAATAGTGGATAATAAAATGGATAATTGCATTTTGCAATTCATTTTTAAAATATATAATTTTAAATTCTGCTTATGTATATAACTAGGGAATGTACGGTGTACTTTATTATAAATGTTACTGCAAGTAAAATAGCAGAGTAGGGGAAATGGGAGTCTCTGTAGTCTACCACTTCATTAGACATGGAAATAAGCTTTACACAGTGTTAAATTAAGATGACTCAAGCAAAACTGATGATTACACATAATACTGGCATCAGATTTAAATTTGTCACAAAAATTGTTCGATTTATACATGTACAGCAGATTCTTCTTATTTAATCAGTTTCCAGGTGACAAACACACAGGGAAAAAAAATATGTATTTTGAGGGGTTATTGATAAGTATATAAAAAAAACTTTCAGAGTTTTGGTCTTTCTGCTGTTTAAGTATGAATTACTTAGCTGAGAGTGATGAGGAGAGAGCCAAAGGAACTCAGAAGGAAGGGATGATAACCTGATTTTACAGTTGTCCAGGATCTCAAGTCTCCATCTTAACCCCCTCTCTGTTATGAGCCTCTAATCTGCACCTTTTGCAATAACTAAGTGGAAAATTTATTATGATTCCTAATGTGCAGTAAGGTTATTCTAAACCTTATTCTTCATCATGTAAGTGCAGAGATACATTTATACTATACTACAGTACTTCAATTACTAAAAATAATTAAATCTAAGAACATGGCAAATAGGACCAACTCGCTAATAATCCAGCATGATCTCATGATCTCTAGAGACAAAGATTAGACTTCAATTCCTAATTGACTAACTTCTCTAATTTAACAGTCAATTCCGTCTAAGTCCTGGATGGAGGGCATCTGGTATTAAAAAAAAGATATACATTTTAATGGTAAGCCAGGCTCAATCTTTAAAACGTATTGAAAAAACTAAAATCTTTTTACAACACTAGGAAAGCCTGTTTAATGAGCAAGGAATCCACATAGTGGCATTTTGATGGCAGGTTTGTCATTCTTGTGTCTCAAGTTATTCATGGATTGCAAAACATAAACAAGAAAGATATACAATAAAGCAAAATTGGAATACTAAGTCTGTTGTGGAAATGGTGACCAAGGATAATCAGAGGATAATCTACAGTATGTAACTGTGCCCAGACACAACAGGGGAAAATGTAATTATAAATCATCATACAAGTATTTACCTTTTTGTGAATCATCGGGATCTTTAAGTTCTTTCTGAGCTTCTTCAATCTTATCTGAAAAAAATACAGAGAAAGAACCATTGGAAAATTACAATTGTCCAAACTTCCACAATTTCCGAGGCACCTTTCTTGGTACTTTCTGGTGCTTTTTCCATTACTTTTGAATCAATGAAGCAAGACAGGAAGAATGCCATTTATTAATTGGGTTCCCCAGGAAAACAACCTTCACCCTTACAATTTGTATAAGAAAATCAAGGAACCTGCAGTACATCCTATTACAAAGAGTACTAAGGTAATAAACACAAATCTTAAAAAGGCTCTTGAGAACACAGTACCCATCTAATGAGAGCTCCCTTTGTGGTGAGCAATTGCTTTTCCATCCTCAGCTGAAGTAATACTGTAGTTCAGGTGCTTAGATAGCTAATAAAAGCCCAGAAGTCTTCTTCCATGACCATATATAAAGTAGCATAGCTTTAGAAAAATAAATTGTTTATTATTAGATTTTCGATGGCCAAAGAAATATAGATTTGTACTTATTTAGAGTTACTGCTACATAGTTCAGATACCCTTCTGTGCTCTGTAGACAGCTGGAAAAAATCTTTTTATTGAAACAATATTTTAATGTGACCCAGTATAAAATACATATAAATGTGAATACCTGATAGTTTAAGACATTTTCCAGGTCTTAATGGAAAATTAGTGGCAGATCTCCTGGTGTTAAACAGCACCTTCAGGTTTAACTAAAACCTAAAACCCTGCAGTATGATCCAGGCTCTGATGAGTTCAGTTATGCTGGTTAAGTTGATTCAGACTAATGAAAACCAGAGGTACTTGTGAGTTGGTATCACAGTACTAAGAAATAAGAAAAAGGGTAAAATAACATGTTCTCTGAAAGAGGTAAAGAGAATAGAAGCAAACATGGTAGCTAAATATTTTATACCCATTCTGTCTCAATAATGCCATTTTCGTATGCCGCCTTCACCAGTATATGAATACAGTACATGTAAAATATAAATCTATCTACATACTGTATCTATAGCTTCTCCAGTAAAATGAAAATCTGTTATTTCACATCTATCCTGAATCTAATCTTCTCATCTAAAAAAGTTTAACTATGTCTATTGATTTTTGTTCAAAAACTTTTCCATTTGTCTGCAATGAATGTATAAGAGTTTAATTCTTTAATAGACTGTAAAGTCTAAAAGAAATGCTAACAAGTTTCTTGAGTGGCTGAACCAATAAAGGTACTCGCTCAAGTGCAGGTGGAGCTCTATAATGCATGTGTCATAGGTTCGAGCCCGGGTTATTTCACTAGCAGACTGTAAGTGGGATTTTCCTGGCGTTGGCTCACATTTGGCTGCAGCCTTGGCGAGGGACATGCTTCTCCTCCAATCGGCACAAGCCTCTCGGTGATGATGAGGCTGTGTTTTCTGTGATGTATTAAAAGCCAAAGGGCTCAAAAGTGGGCGGGCTAGAGGAATCTGTTTACACTTTCTCATTCTCCCCACGTTGTTGCAGCCGATTTTGAAGTTTGGAGCCAAAATGTGAAAAACAATTAAGTGATTGTTCTTAATCAGGTAATCGCAAAAAAAAGAAATGCTGCCTGTGCTTCCTACACAGTAGGAATAATATTAATTTAAGTAGGAATATACTTATAATAGACTTTAAGTAGGAATAAATACTCTGTGGTGTTTATAGGTTATTTGCATAGCTTCACTTTATTCATGTAAAGTATGTGTAAAGGTACGTGTAAAGGCGTAAAGTATAATAACATAGCACAGTGAATAAAAGAAGAAATTAGGTAATGCTAACTACATCCTTACTTCAAACACCTAAAAGGACAATCCAGAACTGCAGGAATGCTATTTTAAAAAGACATTGCAGGGGATGCAGTCCATGCGGTAAGTCTTACAGTAACTATTAATATTATTATATGGTAATGACCCATGTCCCCTGGTGTTAGATTGCCCCCATGAACTCTCCCTTTTTACCCCAACTTCATCCCTTCCCTGCCTTTTCCTTAGATAAAAATGGGTAAGAATCCCTGCTCTTTCTCTACGTTCAGTGGATGCCTGCTGTCTTTCTCTCGTTTTCCCAGCTGTTTCACCTGCTCCGTGACTAGCACGCCCCACCGTAATGAAGAGAGCAATCAAACTGTCAGTGACCCTCATCTCTACATGTCATTCCCCAACCAGCCACCGCTGAATCGGGAGTGCCCATTACAATATTATTGACTCCTTAGAAACACATGCTAGATTATACAACACACCCTGGAAGTCAATTAAATGTATCAAACTTGCAGGACTACTATAAATCCACATCACAGCTAATAAATCTGATCACACATACAAACCATAAGTTGAAGTAGGCTTACATCACAATGTCAGCTGGCTGCTCTACACACTATGTACAAAACCATCAATTTGAATGGTCCCTACTTTTTAAAACCAATACTCCAATTTAAAAAAGGCTAGTGTGATTGATAAGGTAACCTGTGAGTACATTATGTCTCTACAAAAGCAGAAATTAGAGACATTACAAACCTACTCAAGGATGCCTCTTCATTTTATTGCAGTTATTTATCCCAACCTTGCAAGCCCTTCAAGTTACATAATCAATAAAAAAGAAACTAAGCACACAAACCAACAATTGTCAGAGCCAGGGTCTCTGGTCAGGCCTAGTGCACTGAGGCTGCAAATGGGGGAAGCAGAGACCCTGTTGTTTCACCGTCAGGGGACTGCTCAGCTTCCTCCTGGGAAAACTGCTACACAAGTACTGGAGCTACCTGTGCTGATTCTACTTCACAGGAAGACTACATGTACTGCAACTTAAAAAAAAAACTCTTATGCTTGTGTATAGTGTTAAAAATACTATATTAAATTACAGAGCATTTAATTATACATGTTCTACAGTGCACGCAATGCAATTATTATTGTAAAGTATATTGGAATTCGCACCAGAAAACAACAACAGAAAATTTAAAATTCACTGGTAGTGTTGTTGCGACCACAGTACAGCAATATAAATGCTCCGAGAACAAAGAAAAATGCTTAAAAGCTCAGGGATAGTAAAATGGATATCAAGCAATGTGTTCTCTTACACCCAAATTGTGTTTTTGTGTTCTCTTACACTCAAATATTTCAACTGGATGATTAAATTACACAATTATCACTGACATATTAAAGCTGGGTAGGCTACCCATGTCAGGAGATCAACTCTTGTGCATACCATCCAGAGTCATGAAAACGAAACTGTCTTCCTTTTCTGCCTTAGTTACAGAGAAGTGTAGCCTCAGCTTTACGTCACTAAACCAGAATTAGATCACATGCTGAGCCAATGAGTCCTCCTGAGTGACAATGATTTAACAGGCTTGAGCAGGCTCTGCAACTGTTGCTGGTGTTTCCCTATTCTGACAAGCCGGGGAGGCTTAACTATGTTATTCAGTTTCAGCCAATCAGGGCAGGTTGAGGCGACTCACTTCAGCGGAAGTCCCAGCGCACTAGGCAACATCTCTGAAAGGGAGATTTCCTTCTGCAGCGCTGCACAAACAGTATTATTAGTGAAAATACTGCCTACCCGTAAATGTAAGCATGTTCTATAAGGAAAACACTGGGAAATCACTCTTAATTGCTCTGCCATTGCAACATAATTTGCAAAGACACCCGAATCCCATCGGGATTTTTATGCATTTTTTTAAACAAAGGGCATCTTAAACAGGAAGTGTGTGAGACTTCTCTTTGTAGATTTATATTCAGCACGTTTTTCAAGTTTCAACTGTTTAGTTGCTCTTATTTCAAGACCAATTACACAGACTATTAGGCAGTGTAAATAAGAGCTACTGTAAAATGAAAACCACTAGACCCCCATGACCTAACAGGACAGAAACGTTGCCCCCATGTTTGGCATATGTTTCTACTTCCAATTTTGAAATAATTTGTTTCACAAGGGTTTTAGAACATCTGAAGGGAGTCCAATCTGTCTGCTGTCAATATGTTATAACAGCCATTATTATGCCATTTATAATAACCAAGTAAACATGCCTATTCATTTTCCATGACTTTTTTGCCGGCATGCCAAGTCTTTCTTTGTTCAACAAACTTGCAGTGTGAACTAAGAGTGTGTAGGTGTAACCACTAAAAGCTCTAAGGATCAGCTGTAACAAAAAATTGATGGCTTGAGCTCTTGACTGTTTCTCTCTCTCCGCAAAGGTTACCTGTATGAGAACATGTCACATTGAACACTCTGTTCCAATAGAGTGGCCACTGGCTTTTTTTTTGTGGAATGTCCAAGAGAAAAAACAAAAAGCACCAACAAGTCAGATAATGGTAAGAACTTTCGGTTCCAGGGAGAGAGGATTACAGTAGAAATCTTAATACTAAAATAAGTAAGAGATGGCATCATGACAATACTTGGGCTCTCAATGCAATCATACAGTATGGGCATTTGCAGTCAGTGTACTCTATGCTGGTATTACAACAGTGTGGATCAAAACTGTACCCTTCATACCAGCCTTTTGATGCTTGAGCCTTACTAATGTAAAAGAGGCATTTTTTATGATTAGTCCAATTAATATACATTTGGAGTTCTGTTGTAAACAAAACTAATTATCTATTATCTACTCAGTCTATTCCCAGAAAACATTTTTAAATAAATAAAATTGAAAAGTAAATCAATTTTAAAACATACACTTGATCAGATTTGTGGTGGTGGTGGTGGTTATGTAAAAACGCTGATCTGAGGAATAATTAAACATCTTTCCTATCAAGAAAGTTATTGTTGCCTTACCAAACCTTGTTTGCTTTCCAAAGAGGCCAGCCATTCTCGTCAGGGCCTGACAGCAATGTCACAAGTCTGATGTTTCAGAAAGCATGATTGTGTGAGTCACACAAGCTCAGGAACACTCACACAAAACTAAGACAGAATAAAACCAGACAGGAGTCTTTTTTTCTCTGCACATTAAATGAGAGAAGTATCATGGAACTCTTGGAGATCACCTTCTATTTCTGTCTGTGCTGTTTGCCGTTTCAAATGGCTGGTGCTATTCTAAATGTGAT